TTCTTATTTATTGTATATTTATATTATTTTTCTGTATAATTTATTTTATTTATTGTACATATAGTGTGAATGTGATCTCTGAACACTATTATAAATGTCCTTTGAGACAGAATGTAATATTTATCAATAAATAAGTAAATAAGCAAAGAAATTTCTGAGGGTGTGAGAGCAATTTCTGAGCAAAAAGACTTGCTGGAGGGTGTGACGTAGGATTGAACGTCCTACTCACATATCTTTAGTTCACCAAACACCACAAAAAGTCATGGATCTCCCTAAGGTAAAACGCTCATTATCCGGAGGTAAACTAGTCCCCCGTTCGGGTCTCCGGGTGGGGACTGCTTTAGGGGATTCATGGTGCAAGTTGAAATATAGGGATTTAAATATTGGTACGTGGAACGTAAGGAGTTTAAACACAGCAGGGGGGCTAAAATCGGTCGCGAATGAGGTAAATGGGTACAATTTGGATGTCGTGGCTCTGCAAGAGGTTCGCTGGCCAGGGGAGGGCTCGATGAGGGAAGGAAAGTACACTATTTGGTACGGAGGAAGCGGGAATCATTGTTTAGGTACCGGGTTTCTAATTAGGAGTAGATTACTATCCGCTTTGAGGGACGTACAATTCTTTAGTGATAGAATTTCGGTAGCTACATTTCAGGGACGTTGGTTTAAAATCGCATTAATAAACATACATTGTCCGACCGAAGACAGTGACGATGAAGTCAAAAGTGAATTTTACGATAAACTCGAATGGGTTTATGATAAACTACCGCGAAACTACATGAAAATAATTGTAGGTGACGCGAACGCAAAGGTAGGAAGGGAAGAAGTTTATATTCCGACGATTGGTAAAGAAAGTTTGCACGAATATAGTAATGATAATGGGATCCGTCTGATAAACTTTGCCATCTCGAAAAACCTGATAATTAAAAGTACGACGTTTAAACATAAGGATATTCATAAATATACTTGGACATCACCGGATTCGCAAACACGAAATCAAATCGATCATGTCTTGATACAACACAGCTGGCAAAGCAGTATAATTAATGTACGGTCTTATCGCGGAGCAGAATGTGGGTCGGATCATGAATTAGTAATCGCGAAACTTCGACAAAAACTTAATATAAAAAGAGAAAAGAAAACCGTTTCGATTTTGAGAATTTTAATTTGGAAAAATTAAAAAATCCATCAATTAGAAACCAATTCGAGCTAGATGTTAAGAATAGGTTTGAAGCTTTAGAGCTTCCTGACGAGGACCACGAGGATATTGACAAGTTATGGATAGAGATCAGGGATAATATTAAAGCGGTCGGTAACTCGTGTCTAGGAAAAAAGGAAAATAAGAATAACAAACCGTGGTTTGATGAAGATTGCTTAAACATGTGTGAAAAAAGAAAAGCCGCTAAATTAAAAGCTCTAAATAATCCTAGCGAAGACAATCTGGAATACTTCCGAATCTCAAAGAACGAAACGACAAAATTGCTCAAAAATAAAAAAAGGGAGTATCTTAAAAATAAAATAATTGAAATAGAAACTAATAGAATCGAAAATAACGTAAGAGACATGTACAAAGGTATAAACAGATCACGTAAATATGTAGGGCCCGTAACGTCTGGAATTAGGGATGATAATAACAATATTCTGACCGATCCGGTTGACATATTGAATAAGTTTAAGGACCACTTTGACAATATTTTAAATACGGGAAATTATGATCTGTGTCCTCCTTCTGAGTACCAGAGTGCTGAACCGTTAATAGAAGGACCAAGTAAAGAGGAAGTTGAAGTAGCTATCGGAAAATTAAAATCATATAAAGCAGCGGGAATCGATAATATTCCTACTGAACTAATTAAGGCATGCGGGGAAGCTGGAGTTTCTAAAATACATCGGTTGGTTAAAAAGATCTGGGTGAACGAGAAATTACCTGAAGAATGGAAAGAATCTATTCTTATTCCGATTCACAAAAAGGGTCCGAGGACGGATTGTAATAACTATCGAGGAATTTCACTCCTTCCGGTATGTTATAAAATATTCACTTTAATCTTAACCAGTCGAATCACGGAATACGCCGAGGAAATTATCGGAGACTACCAATGCGGATTTAGACGGAATCGTTCGACTATTGATCAAATATTTTCTTTACGGCAAATATTAGAGAAAAAATTGGAGTATAACGGTATTGTTCACCAGCTGTATATAGATTTTAAAAAGGCTTACGATTCTATTGACCGCCAGAAACTGTATAATATTCTAATCGAGCAGGGGATTCCAAAAAAACTAGTAAATCTAGTCAGGATGTGCTTGACGGAGACACTCAATAAAGTTAGAATCGGTAATAATTTGTCCGAAAAATTTGAGGTTCGTTCGGGCTTAAAACAGGGGGATTCTCTTTCGCCTGTCCTGTTCAATTTGGCATTAGAACATGCCATTAGGGAGGTAATGCGAACCGAGAAAGGGTTGGATCTGGGCGGGACAACATCCGTGCTGGGCTATGCTGATGATCTGGTACTGTTAAGCGAAGACGTTGAAACTATAAAACTAAATACGACAACGTTAATGAAAGCCGGTAAAGAACTAGGACTCGAAATAAACGTGGATAAAACAAAATATATGGTTAGCTGCAAAAATGGCGATACTACTGGTGATATCGATATAGATGGTAATATGTTTGAACAGGTAGATAAATTTAGGTATCTAGGTTCTACGATAACTAGAAAAAACGAAATTGAAGAAGAGATTAAGGTTAGACTGAAGGCGGGGAATGCTTGTTATTTTTCTGTGACAAAACTACTTAGTTCGCGCCTCTTGTCCCGAAACTTAAAAATTAGAATCTATAAAACAATTATCTTGCCTACAGTTCTTTATGGATGCGAAACTTGGCCGCTTACATTAAGGGATGAGCAGCGTCTTAAGGTTTTTGAAAATAAAGTATTGCGTAGAATATTCGGACCGAAGAAGGATGAGTTAACCGGAGAGTTCAGACGGTTACACAACGCCGAATTGCGTGAGCTGTATCCGGGTAATATAATTGAGGTAATTTCATCGCGGCGAATCAAATGGGCTTGTAAAGTTGTTGGGCTTAGTAACGGGAGAATTCCTAAAAGGTTAATATTTGCTGTGCCGAATGGTAAGCGTCCGAGGGGCAGACCGAAGCGAAGGTGGGAAGATTGCATTAAAGCCGATCTGAAGGGACTGGGTTTGGACGGCGAACGGTGGAGGGAGTTGTGTAACAAGCGATTGGTGGTGTCGGCATCGAACCTTCGGGTTCGCTAAGCCTTATTATTATTATTATATCGGCTCCTAGGGCCGATTGGAAAGAACGCGCAGACATGTGTCTAATATATTTCGATGTGGTATATAAAAAAAAAAAAAATTGGTAGAAATCGGTGACCCACAGACGGTATTCTGTCTTTGTTACTTAAAATAATAAATAAATAATTATGTGTACAGACACTATAAATTGTTATCGTAGCATTTTGAGTAATTTGTTCAATTTAACAATGCAAGAATTTTCAATAAGTAGTACAATTCAATGTTTATAACTTCATTAAACAAAATAATAATGAAGTTCACAGACACATAAATTGTTATAGTAGCATTTTGAATAAGTAGTTTAATTCAATATTAATAACTTCATTAAACAAAATTATAATGTAGTGTACAGTCATATAGGTTGTTATCGTAGTCGCATTGCTAAGTCTCGCACCCTAGATTACCAACTCTATTTTCCTTAATTAGCAAGAGATGGTCTTCTGCGTGATCGACACAGTTAACCGAAGTTGTGGAGGTCCTCCTTTTCTTCACGTTGCACCTACTGTAGGGGCAACCTAAAGATCATACAATATTATTTATTTAAAAATTCTTAGCCTTTGATAAATGTAATTCTATGTATCAAACATGTGAGCATACTCGGTTAGGTACGACCACTCAGGTAGAAAGGCCTACAGTGGTTGAGGACAACACAAATAAGAAAAAAAAGGTGTCTATTATAAAGAAGCCTACACCATGCCCTTCTTGAAATTGACCTGGGTCAGTCAAAATAGAATAACACTTAAGGACACCAAGGAAGCTTCTCCCAGGATTAATATTAACTGGTCCTTCCTCGTACCTTTAGGATATGGCCAGTTTAAATAATTTTAGGTAATATACACCCGCCACAGATGAAAACCAATCAGAAATATGCTTACTCCACGGTGAATTAATGTATGGAATCGTCTAGAACTAGGGAGGTGAGGTTTTATGTCTTTTTTTCCTGCTTTGGAGACTGAGAAAGACCTAGGGGATATTGGAGCCTGCCACCTCTTGGCTTTGACTTGACCAGCTGACATCATGCAATGATGGTAACCCTAAGTCTGGACTACCGAAGATGATCAACCCTAACTAGTCACTTCATATTTAGAGCTTCAGCTAAGTTAATTTCCCAAATATCATCCTAGAATGAAATGACAAGAAACCGTTTGACGTTTCCGATTACTTCAGCACTCACTAGACAAACGCTCTAAACTTCCGATTAATTACAAAAGACTCATATACATGACTATAATAAGGCATATTTGGACTTACGGAATTGAGCTGATGGGCTCTACTAAACCATCCAATTCCTTTCGTATCCAATCCTTACAATCCAAAATCCTTCTTAAAGTCCTCAATGCTCCCTACTTTGTCACAATTAAAACCATCCATAATGACCTGAATGTTTATTTTGTTTCAGATCTGGCACAATCCAGATGCCTATCCTTCCATAATAAATTTCAGAATCATCCCAACCCTCTCGTTTCTAACCTTACTTCCTCTTCAATTCCTGATAACCCTCCGAGGCGTCTGAAAATAAAATGGCCCCGTGATCTCCTGATGTAGACATATCATTAGAGTGCTACCATTGATTAGTTACTCAGCAAGTGTTTTCATGTCATTATATCCATATGTTCAAATTTACTTTATGTATTTATTTTATACAGTTGTAAATATCATTAAGAAATAATAAAATAAAAAATTCCCAAAAAAACAGTAGATTTATTAATGTTAAAATATTTTATGGCATATGTCTCAAACCAGTACATGTGAATCATATGTTCATTTAGAGTTCTTATTAAATATATGAAACCATGTTTTTAATTAGATTGTTTTAAATATAATTTGTACATAAATATTGCAATATAATTTGTACATAAATATTTCAATATAATTTGTACATAAATATTTCAATATAATTTGTACATAAATATTTCAATATAATTTGTACATAAATATTTCAATATAATTTGTACATAAATAGTTCAATATAATTTGTACATAAATATTTCAATATAATTTGTACATTCATGTTTCTGTACATTTATAGTGTTATAACGTTTGTTTAATCACACCTCATATTTATTCTTTATTGAACTTATGAATAATTTAAAGTTTTTTAGTTAGGTAATTTTAATTTGGAACCTATTGAAGACCATAATTAACACAGGTACTGTTGGTAATTAGAAAGGATGATGAAAAAAAACAGTCTTTGAGAAAAGAATTGCAAATAATTAATCCTGAACCAATTAACATATTAGATATTTCAATTTCTTTGATTACTTTTTTTTTAGTTTTTATTTAATCAACTATTGGGAGGTGGAGATCAGTATGTAGAGTTTTGTTAGATAATTTTGTTATGAGTGGCAATAATTTTGATTTGAAGGTATGAAATTTTTGTATGTTGGTCCTTTTAGCGATACTGTATATTTGTGATGAGTATGCCCATATGAGTTTAAGTATGTGTATCAGTGCCTCTCTCAGTTTTAGGTTTGAAGATTTAGCAAAAAGAGAGTTAAGTAGTTTGAGTCATTTGTTAAGTGTCTTACATTTCATTTTTACATGCGGTCCAAGATAAAGTACCGTGTTCGTTTGAGAAGTTGGATTGTTGTCAATATAAACTGAAGGGCAGGTGATTTTTAAAAAATTAAATGTTATATGTTTGGATTATTAAGGTTCATGATGTTGGATTATTCATAATTTAGTCAAATTTTCCAAAGTTTAAACCAATCTTGTAACTTAAATCAGTGCTGTTGTGTAGGGTCTTGATGTTTTGTGAAAATTGTTGTATGTAATATAGAGAGGCTAATTTTGAAGATTGGTGAATTCTTGTCAAGATTGGGCAACATGAAGTTTTTTCTGAGTTCTCCCAAACAGAAAGAAATCTGTCTAAGAGTAATGATTGAATGATAGAGTAGTACGTGTATGGCAGTATAGTCTTAGGTATAGAGAATACCCTGGTGCCAAACTTTGTCAAAAGCCTGAACAACATCCAAAAATACGCTAGGTGCGTATAATTTTTGTTCTAAAGCTTCAGTAATTGATTGAGAAGTCCGTAACTCTGTGTAATTGATGTGTTTTCGAATGGAATGTGTGAAAGCCGAACTGGTGGTCAGGTATCATCTATCGGTCAGTCAATATGTCAACGAGTCTTAAGTGTATTAATTTTTCAAAAATTTGAGAGCATACAGGAAGGAGGCTAATGGGTATGTATGATGAAGGACTATTTATTTTATCTCGTTTGTAAATTGGATTTCCAATAAGTAGTCTCAGTTTTTTTAACTCAGTTATTAAAAAAAAAAATCTAATAATGAAGTATACTGACACATAAATTGTTATCGTAGTCGCATTGCAAAGGGTCGCAGCCTAAGTTACCAACTCTATTTTCTTTAAATTGTAAGAGATGAGCTTCCGCAGGATCGACACAGTTAATCGCAGGTCGTTCTGGTTCATCTATTCCCCGCCTTGCACTTAGTTTGGGAGCAACCTAAAGATCATACATCATTATTTATTTACAAATTCTCAGTCGTGGATCAATTGTAAGCATTTTCAATAATTAGCCTCAATGTTTATATTCAGTTATTAAATAAATATATTAATGAAGTGTACTGACACATAAATTGCTATCATAGTCGCATTGCAAAGGGTCGCAGCCTAGGTTACCAACTCTATTTTCTTTAGATAGTAATAAATGGGCTTCCGCGGGATCGACACAGTGTGATGAAAGTTGTGCAGTTCCATCTATTCCAAACCTTGCACGTTGTTTGGGAGCAACCTAAAGATCATTCGTTATTATTTATTCATAGCTGTGGATAAATGTAAGCGTTTACAATAATTAGCCTCTATGTTTATAACTCAGTTATTTAAAACAAAAAATATTAATGAAATGTACTGACACACAAATTGTTATCGTAGTCGCATTCGAAAGGGTCGCAGCCTAAGTTACCAACTCTATTTTCGTTAATTAGTAAGAGATGGGCATCCGCGGGATCGACACAATTAAGCGAAGGTTCTGCAGGTTTTATTCCTCCTTCCCATAGTGCACGTGTGCTGGTGACAATCTAAAGTTTATTAATTATATCTGTAAATGAATTCTAAGCTCCAGATTAATTTATGCTATTTAGATAATTGCGTTTCATGTTTATAAGTCAGTTATTAAAACAAGCAATAATTAAATGTACTGACACATAAATTGTTATCGTAGTCGCATTGCAAAGGGTCGCAGCCTAGGTTACCAACTCTATTTGACGTAACAAGAAGGAGATAGGCGTTTTCAGGATCGACACAGTTAACCGCATGTTGTGTAGGTCCACTTATTCCTGACTGTGCATGTGATCTGAAGTTAACCTAAAGTTATTTCATTATGATTTGTTAATAAATTCTAAACTATAGATTAATGTATGCATTATCAATAATTTGCCTTAATGGTTATATTATAGTTATTATAAAACATAATCATGAATTGTAATAAAACATATAAGGTTATCGTACTCGTAGTGTAACGGCAACTCGCAGCTTAGGTTACCAATTATATCAATGAATTCCTTTTTATTTTTTTTATATCATTGCGTAATACAGATTTTGCCACACGGACAATATTTATGGAATAAAACCATTCACACTATACATACAGAAAGTACAAATAAAACATCGTAATAATAAAGTGTAAGACAGGTACTTAAAAAAAAAAAAAAAAAGCAAACATACCTACAGACACTATTTACAACCAGGCGACGGAACTACTAGCTAGACACCTCTCTTCAACCATGGAGTTACTAATTTAGCAGGTTCTCTTCTTTGTCTACTTGTTTCATCTTTCATCCAGGTTATCTGGTATATGGATGTGAGAGTCTCATAGAGTTGACAACCTTCTGGATGTATATATGGATATGCGTAGGACACTAATTGCACTGGACACAATAGGTTTAATGCACTTTACAAATTTGTGTTCACCGGATTTCACGCAATGAGATAACAAGTCTTCGTGTGGCTTTATGCCTGATAATTGTGCCATTAGGCGATTTCCCTTTTGGAGTACGGGTTTTCAACTTGTACTCTTGTGTACTAGATTATTTGGATGTTATAAATTTTTTTAATCGGTATCGGGTAGTGACCATCTAAAATTGCTCCATGGGAACATTACATACGTCATAAATACAAACGAAACCTGCAAGTGGTGCGGCCAACTTATCAATAACGGTTTAAAGCACTTGATGCTGGAGTGTTTGTTTCTGGAGACACATAGAAGGGAATACCTACATACACATATACAAGCTGCCACAGATGATTTATCACTGGAATGTGTGTTGGATATAAAAAATCTTGACCAGTTAAACAAAATATTTTATTTTATTAAAAGTGTTTGTGACTGTATCAATAGAAGTACAAACCTTCAGCTTTAGGTCAGTCAGGCATGTGTTGATATGTCCGTGGGCGTACGTGTATTTATTCACAATTTGGGTGACTTTTAAATATTATTATTATTAATTGTACGATTCTACATGTGTGTTGTAATCCTAAGATCTCTACTATTTGTTTTGCTTTGTCGTGTTCTGCACTGTAAATTTTGTTTAGTATATATGTATTTTTATTCATTTATTATATATATATATATATATATATATATATATATAAAAAAATAGCAAAAATATTTATGATGTTTGTTATATAAAAATATTTTTGTTTTTGTCTTCTCATACTGTACTTATTTACTTATTTTCTTCTACTTATAAAACTAATACTTACTAAAGCTAAAGCGCCAGACTCCATGGCTACGATGCATATTATGCCAATTATATTGTATATTCTAATTGAATAGTTAAAAAACAGATTCGGTAGGAAAGGTTTATTAATACAACTTTACGTCAGGGAATTACTGGGTTAAGTCTTTAATCAGGCTACACATAAAGGTAACATGACTCTCACTTCTTTATACGACAAACTATAATGTCAGTTAAGGTCTCTAGACACTTTAGGCATAACCACTGATAAATGTTCATGTATGCTTATACCTTTGGTTGAATCAGTGCTACCAGAATCAACTCCTTAGACTTTGGGAAAGGTACAGAGTAATGAACAAAATTGACATAGAGAAGGGTTTAGATGATCTGTTACTATGTTTACATGGTTAAGTGGAAAGTGAGGAGAGGACCTTGTTAGCGAAATCTGTTTTTCCAGATGCCTGGTCTAAGAAGATCTTTAGATTACAAGAGACATAAAGAAATATAACACCAAAATAAATTACATCCCAACCTCTTCAAACCTTGTAACCGTCACTAGATCTGAAAAAAATTGCGTTTTTGTGATAAAGGGCATGATTCTCTTAATTGTTTTAAAGCACAAGACCTCGATCTTGATTATATTAGAAATATTTTGAAAAAGAATGGTTATTGTTTTTCCTGTTTAAGAAGAGGACACATGAAGAACCAGTGTACGGCTGCGATTAGATGTCTGCTATGCAAAGGTAAGCATGTTACATTATTACGTGAAAAGCGAAATGGAAAAAATGCAGAGAACAGCTCAGTTAGCTCTGGCTCAAAAGTAGAACAATGTTGGACGAACATACTTAGTAGTGATATATATTTAAAAACCTTGAAAGTAAAGTTAAAAAATGATGAAAGGAATACCCTTGTGGGTTATATTTTGATGATTGTTCGCAAAGGTCATGTATCAGTAAACGAATGGTCTCTCTTTTATATTATGAACCCTTTGGTAAACAAACTTGGATTGTTCGGATTCAGTAGATCAAAGCCGGAAGATCACAATATTTACAGGGTAAATGTTGCAAGTGTAATTACCGATTATGTTCGTAATTTTGAGGTTCTGGATGAAGAAATAATTTGCGAACAGTTAACCGTAATCAATCGATCTGGATTCTGGATCAAAGAATCTTTTTGAATCTTTAGCCTTAATGTTTTTAAATTAATTATTAAATGTATCAACAAAGATATGTACTTACGCATAGATTGTTATCGTAGTCGCATCGCGAAGGCGGCTGGCAATTTAGGTTACCACCTCTGTTTTCCTCTAATCTTAGAAGATGTGCGTACTCGGGATCGACACAGTTAACCCCAGATTGTGCAGGTCCAGCAGTTCTCCCTTGTGCAAGATCACCTTTTACCCACAGTGCACGTGGGCTGGAGGCAACCTTAAGGTTATTCACAATTACTTATTAATTAATCTAAACTGCGAAACATTATAATATCTAACCGTTAGCCTCAATGTTTCTAAATTATTTATTAAAAGAATTAATAAAGATGTGTACTGACGCATAGATTGTTATCGAAGTCGCAGTGCAAAGGTGGCTGGCAATTTAGATTACCAACTCTCACTTCCTCAAATTTTAGAAGAAGTGCGTACGCGGGATCGACACAGTTATCAGATTGTTCAGGTTTAGCTGTTCTCTCCTCTTCATGTTCAATTGCTCTTAACTGTATAGTTGGAATGGAGGTAACCTGAAGGTTATTCCCAATTACTTATTAATGAATTTTAAGCTGTGAACTAATGTGAGCATTTTTAATAGTCAATCTTAATGTTGTAACTTATTTATTGGGAGTTCTGCGCATGCGCTAGATTTACTCTGTTACTTGAACTCTCAAATATGAATTAATTTTTAACAATGAAATTGTGACACTACCGTGAAACATTGTGTGAACTTTAACAATATTATTATTGGCCACAGTGGTTATATAAACAGTGAGTTATCGCTTGTGGACAATAGTATAAATACGCTTGCTTGAGATATATAAGGAGCCATATCAGTTGCCTACAGCACTGGACGACGTAGGATCTATGTCACTTTATGTATTACAATCTCGCGTAAATATATTATATAATTCATTTTTATTTTGTTTAACTATTTTTGTTACCTTCTTATACTGCTTTGAATCACACCACATAATTGAATATGAAGTGTGATATTTTCATGTGGTTATGTCGGGAAATATAAAAAACAAAAACATCATTAGCATTTATCAAGAATTTTAAAATATTTCCATTACTGTACCAACATTTGAATGTTTCAGGCATGGAAAATACGGGTGCCGAAGTCGTACTAACGATACAATATTATTATTTTATTTATTTATTTATTTTTATTTTATTGAAAAATATTACAATCTGTCTCTAGGACAAATACAATATTAATTAATGAAACCTCTCAAACATATAAAATAATTATCAGATACGGATGCAAACATTTATATATACCACATTTATTATACTACTGTATTCCACAACCCCCTCCAGAAGCCATAAAAGAAGAACTAATGGCCACGTGATACCGGGTACGTCAAATAATCAATGTTTACAAAGAAAATAGAGAAGAGAAAAGGCCTGCCTTATTAGCCCTGCCTTTATTCTTTGTCGATTCATAGCAAATTCCCAGGATCAAAGAAATCTACAGCGTAGCTCGCCTTCATTACACGTGAGTAATTATTGAAAGATCTGAAAACCTTTAGGCCATTCTTATATTAATTGACCATTTAGCATTTATAGTTTAAAAAATATCAACTTCTTGGAGAAAAATATATTGTAAATATTATTATAGATGTCCTAGATAATTTTTCTTAATATTAATTTTTTTTCTTATCTTTATTTCGAATATGGGATACTATATCTCAGAGTGTCAATGCGCTATGAAAGGGCTCTATGGAGTAAAATGTTCCTTTCTAGTTATCTTCGAGCTAAGAAAATCATTTTGAAAGTTATAAATTTCTAAAATAATTTAGAATAATAGAACTTACTGTTTAATGTGTAAATATATTTTAAATTTTTTCTCCTTTACATTCTTTTAGAAACGTTTTACGGCAACATTCTTAAAATGTAGAATAGGTTTATAGAAAACGAACCTTGATTGTGTAAGTTTTTTAGTAAAAGTAAAAAAGCTTTTTTGAAAACTTATCGAGCGAATAGTTACTTCATAGATATTTAACAAAAATAGCCTCACATAACAAAAAATAGCTCCATATGATATACTAACAAATAATCCATCCAGTTTGTTAGTAAAATAAACAAACTTTAGTGATACATTGAAGAGATATAATGGCTATGAATATAATACAGATTAAACCATATAATAATATAGAAAACCATAAATATTTCATGGTTAATTTAACCATAACATTAAGATTTAATTTAATTTGATTAATGCCTTTTAATGTTGCCCAAATGCAAGACCAAGATTTATTCCTAAAGCGATATTACTGTATTTTTTTAGATAGGAGAAACCTAACTAAGGTTCAATGAAAAATTAGAAGAGTTAAATGCAAAAGTATATTGGTTATACCAATTCTATATATATAGTAACTAAAATTCTCAAGTATTAGTAACTATTTTGCCTTAATTTAATTCATAAAATCGATTTTTTTTTTCTACCAGTCTTGGTCTTGCAACATTTATACGGTCAGTTGCAAATTGCAAGACCAAGACCGATTTTGGGCAACACTAATTAATGCTTAAAAAAAAAAAACACTAAAATTATCCTCCTGTTCTCTAAATTCTTATAGTAAAGGAAGTGATATAATTAATTGATATTAGGAACAATTATTAAAAAGGATATTAAATTTATATGAATAATACTAACATTCGTTACGTTTTCATATAAAATTCATGTTACTGATGTAACCAAATTTCGAACAGATATGAAAACCTAATTCTTAATGAATACCCCGAGACTATTTATTTTGCAATTATCATCCTTAATATTAATTGAGTAATGTTAAGTAAAACAATAGTAACATTCGTTACGCATAATTTTTGAGACATAGCATGTTTTGGAATAAAAAATTAGATAGTATGTACAGCCCTTTCCCACTGGCCTGGGAGAACCCTCTCCCTCCCCCTCCGTATGGCCTAAAAGGCGAGAAAGAGGAGGGAAAAAAAGAAGAAAAAGATGGGAAGTGTCTGAGAAGAAGGTTGATCCCGGACGGATACAAAATTGGATCAATCTAAATTTGAACTAATGCAAGGCACTGTTATATAGAGGATGATATTATAATTTTGTAAGGAGGATGTCATATAAGGTCAACTGTGTCAAACGCTTCAGAAAAGTCTAGAAGGATGAAGATAGTATGGTTTTGGTGTTCCAAATAAGTTCTTGTTTTGACTTTTGTCCCAATAGATAGCTAAAACAACCATCTGTGCGGAACTATCGCTGAATAGCCATGTCACCACTCTGTCTATTATTTCTATTTCACCTTCTCCAAGCCTAGTATTAAAGTATCGTCCAAAAGTATTGTTCTTTCTGTGTTCATGGGCATATTCTTATTTTAAATGAACATTTAACGTCCCAGGTCTTTACATTTGAATTTCATCAGCTTTTTTCAGGTTCCAAAAAAAAAAAATAATAAAGGAATGACATTAATTGTTTTTATTGTTTCTAAGGAATGGAATGATGACATTAGGATTAATTTATCTCAACCAAAAGAAGAAGTATCTGAATATGAATGTAGAAAAACGAACGAATGTAACTGTCCCCAATGTGAGGATGCGAAATTCAGCACTCCTTGATATGAGTAAATGTCTATCGATTATTTATCAACCATGGAAAATTCAACTGTTATATTGTGAATGTATTTCAACTAATTGTATTGTGAATTATGGATGCCATTTTTTAGTTATCTCAGATATTTTGATTGAAAAGTAGGAACATAGATTGGTTCCCAAAATTTGGGGTGAAACTTCTTAACGAAAGTTACCGACTTTTTTTAAAACACTGTTAATTTAATATGACGGCCAAAGGATTTTAAAATACCTGTCTGTGGTACCAGCTATCATAGCATGTGTAATCTTGAGGCACAAAATAGCTGGTACAGACTATCTAAATTTTTATTCCAAAACATGCTATGTCTCAAAAATTATGCGTAACGAATGTTACCATTGTTTTACATTATATTAAGGATTATTAATCAATTAATATTAAGGATGATAATTGCAAAAACAAATAGTTTCGGGGTATTTATTAAGAATTAGGGTTTCATATCTGTTCAAAATTTGGTTACATCAGTAACATCAATTTTATATGAATACGTAAAGAATGTTAGTATTATTCATATAAATTTAATATCCTTTTTTAATAATTGTTCCTACTATCAATTATCCTAAGCATCTGGAAGGAACATTTCCAACAGCTGCTTAACCAAGGGCACCCTACAAACGAAGAAGACATAGACCACACTGAGGACATCGACCCACTTGAGGTTGAAAAACCAGATATTCTGGATGTGGAAATAGCTATCGACAGGCTTAAAAGAAGAAAGGCTCCGGGGATGGACAACCTACCATCAGATTTATTCAAGGATGGGAGAGAAGAACTCAGAGCCAAGATGTTAGATCTAATCCAGAAGATATGGGAGAAGGAACGGATACCAGAAGCATGGAATAAGCGTATATATATATAAGCGGATTTGATCTGTCCTATCCTTAAGAAGAGCTCCATGTATGAATGTGGCAATTACAGAGGCATAGCACTTCTTCCGGTCTCCTATAAAATAATGACTAATATTCTGCGACCATCAAACAGGATTCAGGAGAGGGAAGAGTACGCTAGATCAGATATTCATCCTGAAACAAGAACTTGAAAAACGATGGGAAGTAGATCAGGACGTACACGGATTATTTGTCGACTTCAAATCAGCCTATGACTCCGTTGACAGAAACTGTCTCTGGAAGATCATGACTGAGCTGGATGTTCCCGGGAAATCAGTGAATTTGACAAAGGCGTGTACAAATGATCCTAAATGCAGGGTACTAATACAAGGAGACGTATCTGAAGCCTTTGAAGTTCGAACGGGTTTGAGGCAGGGAAATGGACTCTCGCCGTTGCTGTTCAAATTAGCACTAGAGAAAGTAATAAGAATAACATCACGCGAAGATGGAGGGGTGCACATTGGAATGAAACATAAAATCCTAGTATATGCCGATGATATAGCGGTCCTCGGAAGTAATTAAAAGGATATTGAGAGACTCGGACTCTATTAAAAGAAGCAGAGCAAATCGGACTACAGGTCAATGTAGATAAAACAAAATACATGATAGTTAGCCGAAACATCCAACCTAATACCCGGATCTACGTGGATTCTAAGTCATTCCCGAAAGTAGACAGATTCATATACTACGGCTCCACAATAACCTCAATAAATAATCAAC